CCTTCAACCTATGTCGTATCATTGCCGTTTCAGTGGTTGTGGGGCCATAAACGGCACTGTCCCGTTATCACCGCGCCGACGGCAGGGCCCGGCCGCCCCGTCCCGATGGGCGGAGCGACCGGGCCCGGCCCCAGCGCGGCTCAGGTGCCGGCAGGAGCCTCGGGGCCGCCCCGCGGAATCGTCGGCAGCGCCCCGCGCCGCGCCCGCCCCCGCGGCCTCATTGGCCGCGCCGCTGCTCAAATAGAGCCGGGCGGGAGCCGGCGGCCGCCAGCGGGTAGCGAGCGGCGCGCCCGTCCGTCCGTCTGCAGCCGTCGGGGCCCGGGTGCCCCGCGATGAGCAGCCCCGATGCGGGCTACGCCAGCAGCGAGGAGCAGGCGCAGGGCCGGGGCGCGCTGCCCGCCATGATGCCGGCCCTGGGCCCGTGCCCCTGGGCGGAGGCGCTGAGCCCGCCGGGCGAGGCCAAGGCGAAGGGCGAGGCGGGGACGACGGGCGGGCGCGGCAAGGGCGAGGCGCGGATCCGGCGGCCCATGAACGCCTTCATGGTGTGGGCGAAGGACGAGCGCAAGCGGCTGGCGCAGCAGAACCCGGACCTGCACAACGCCGAGCTCAGCAAGATGCTGGGTGAGCGCCGGGCTGAGGGCCGGGGGGAGGGCGCGGGGCCGGGGCCGGGCTTCGGGCGGCCGCGGTGACGGTGCTGTGCGCGCAGGTAAATCGTGGAAGGCGCTGTCGCTGGCGGAGAAGCGGCCGTTCGTGGAGGAGGCGGAGCGGCTGCGCGTGCAGCACATGCAGGACCACCCCAACTACAAGTACCGGCCGCGGCGGCGGAAGCAGGTGAAGCGCCTGAAGCGGGCGGAGAGCGGCTTCCCGCAGCACGGCGCGGCCGAGGCGGCGCCGCCGGCCTTGGGCCCCGACGGAGTCGGCGTCGGAGTCGGCGTCGGGACGTGCGCCGAGAGCCTGGCGCTACCGTACGCGGAGCGCGGCTACGCGGCGGGGCCGGGGCGCTACCGGGACTGCCCGCCGCTGGGCGCCGCCTTCGACGGCTTCGGGCTGCCCACGCCGGACCCGTCCCCGCTGGACGCGGCGCACGGCGAGGCGCCGTTCTTCGCGCCGGGGCCTCCCGAGGAGTGCGCGCCGGGGCACTACGGCGGCTACGGCCCGGGAGCGGCGGCGGGAGACTTCTCGGCGGTGGGAGCGGGCGAGAGCCCCGCGGGGGCGGCGCTGCGGCGGCACCACCAGCACCCGCACCCCGCTGCCGGCGAGCTGGGGCCGGGCGGCCCGCTGCAGGGGCTGCTGGGCTGCCCGGCGCCGCCGCACTACTACGGGCAGCTGTGCCCGGGCCGCGGCCCGCCCGCTCCCGTGCCCATGGCCGTGGCG